ACCAGTTTTAGCGCAGTAGAAATAGCGTTGTAATAATTGACAGTCTTCTCCGATGCCAGCATCACATCTTGCACAAACCTACACATTAGAAAAGAAAGAGAAACGGATAAATTGATTTGATAAAARTAAATTAGTTAACCTTGTTTATGGAAGATAACACTTGACAGTAATTCAACTGATAAACTTGTGGTCTTCTGTTAACGTCTCTAGTTAATTAGGGACGGGACCGCCATTAACGTGATCATCCGAGCCACGTGAAGGTCTAACCATTTGCAGATGTAATCACAAAGGTAGTACCTTCTCCTCAGTTAAGACCCTGAGTGTTGGTCCGGCCGAGGCTTGAACCAAGACCTCCCGCACAATRGACCGACGCTCTTACCAACTGAGCTAGCCGGGTGGCGATTCTTCACTCAACGCTGAAAGCCCTTGCATCGAGCAAGCAAATAGTTACAGGAAGATGGTCTAAAATCAGGGCAGTCCGTCTCACCTTTCAAGACCTTTCTGGTTTTGTTCATTTGCTTGAACTAGCTGAGACTTGAGACAGCTGTTATACGTGTCATCGGACTCTCCCCCGTGTGTCATGCCCGGTAGGAGGGCTGCTTCAGCAAACGCGATAACCTGGTAAGAAAGAAATAATACTCAAGGGAGTGACACACGGTCTGAAATGGGAAAACATTGTACCATAGCTGAAAAGCATTCCTAGTAAAGAAAGAAATAATACTCAAGGGAATGACACATGGTCTGAAATGGGAAAACATTGTACCATAGCTGAAAAGCATTCCTAGTAAAGATTAAAATAATACTCAAGGGAATGACACATGGTCTGAAATGGGAAAACATTGCACCATAGCTGAAAAGCATTTCTAGTAAAAAAGGGAATAATACTCAAGAAAATGACTTACATTAGTGAAATCATTATTCAGCATCCCCTTTAGAACCTGAACGATAGCCGTACGAGCAAACAAGAACTTGTTTTCTTCTTTCATGGCGTAGCTGATATCAACCAAGATGATAATGTTTTTTGGTCCGCGAACACCTTCGATATACCAGGGCTTCAAACGCTGGTCACTCGTGCCTGGAAAAACAGCGATAAATAGATGTTGAGTCCATCACCTTTATAAGTTGGCGTAAGATGACGAAGTTAGTTTTAGTTGGTCGTCATTTAAATTGCCAACCATCTATTGGACAATCCAGTAGAGCAATCATCATCATCATTCGTATCTTCATGTNGACGAAGTTAGTTTTAGTTGGTCGTCATTTAAATTGCCAACCATCTATTGGACAATCCAGTAGAGCAATCATCATCATCATTCGTATCTTCATGTCATGATGACGATCTTAACGTACCACATTGAGCATTCCCTAGTACCTCAGCAGGGAACCTTCGATGGAAGCCTGTCTTATCGTCAGTGAAATACTGCCACTTGAGCTCTCCCTAGGAAACACAAAAAATATTTTACTACAACAATGAGTAAGGGCGTATTACACAATGAAAGGGAAGAGGACCACTAGAGTATCATTTCTTTGTTTAACGGTTGAGCATTAGAAGACACATGAATATGTATACAACTCTAACAAAGAATCTTATTCTCAAGACCACGTGTCATTCCCTAGAGTATCATTTCTTTTTTTAACGGTTGAGCATTAGAAGGCACATAATTATGGATACGACTCAAACAAAGAATCTTAATCTCCACGTGTCATTCCCTAGAGTATCATTTCTTTGTTTAACGGTTGAGCATTAGAAGACACATGAATATGTATACAACTCTAACAAAGAATCTTATTCTCAAGACCATGTGTCATTCCCTAGAGTATCATTTCTTTGTTTAATGGTTGAGCATGAGAAGACACATAAATATGGATACAATTCTAACAAAGAATCTTATTCTCAAGACCACGTGTCATTCCCTAGAGTATCATTTCTTTGTTTAACGGTTGAGCATTAGAAGACACATAAATATGGATACAACTCAAACAAAGAGTCTTATTCTCAAGACCACGTGTCATTCCCTAGAGTATCATTTCTTTGTTTAACGGTTGAGCATGAGAAGACACATAAATATGTATACAATTCTAACAAAGAATCTTATTCTCAAGACCACGTGTTATTCCCTAGAGTATCATTTCTTTGTTTAACGGTTGTACATGAGAAGACACATGAATATGGATACAATTAACAAACCTTTTGAGATGTTGTATCAAAGTTGTTCATCATCAGTTTTTCTAGAGGTGCTGTCCACTCGTACACAGAGACTAATTCATGCGGCATCTACAATCACGAGGATGAGAGAGAATCACTAAGATTTTAAGCGCCTTTCTTTACTGGGGTTTTATTTGGTGGGCTACCTGTGGTGTGTAGATTAATTTGGCATTTTTGTCGCCCCAAACCTCTCATGCCTCTTTTATCACACAGGGACCCCGAGAAGGAAGGAAGGAAGGAAGGAAGGAAGGAAGGAAGGAAGGAAGGAAGGAAGGAAG